AAATTTCGGGAAGGAAAGAAATTGGAAACGGACATTTTGAGTGCAAATAATAACATACCAAATTAGCCTGTATATTTGTAGAAGTATGTCAGGGTATTTGATCCTATCATCTCCAAAATAATATACTTCCCCCACCTCTCCACAATGAAATTTTTCTTTTTTTGCCGTCCAAAGGGAGGGGATTACTCGGATTCACCGCCCACTACTTCGGCGCTATGAATTTATGACTCTTCATTCTTCTTTCTCCATTTCTTACTACAAAGATCTTAAATACCTCGATTTTCTTCTTCGATCTTTAATTTGAATTATCCTTAACTTCCGCGCTTCGTATTCCCCATCTCGACTCTACATACTCAACCCCCACCATCTGCACCATGTGTACTGGTGCCGACCCCGAGTCCAATGGTGCTCCTACCACCGTTGGTGCCAGTATGTCAATTGAAAGTTACTATATCAGGATTGCCCACTGACTGTTATTTAGACGGCGACCACTCTGGTTACGTTGGCATTGAAACTCGCCAGAACCCCCACCCCTCCGCATCCCGCAACCCCTACGGCCACGACGCTGGCGTCACCGACTTCCTTAGCAATGTCTCACGCTTCCAGATTATTGAGTCTACTTTGCGTGAGGGAGAGCAGTTCGCCAACGCTTTCTTCGATACCGAAAAGAAGATTGAGATTGCCAAGGCTCTCGATGACTTTGGTGTGGACTACGTGAGTCACCGGACAGGCGAAAAGCTCATATTCATAAACAGGGTTAACAATAATCACAATATAGATCGAGCTCACTAGTCCCTGCGCTTCTGAGCAGTCCCGTGCGGATTGTGAGGCCATTTGCAAGCTTGGCCTGAAGGCTAAGGTACGTTAGGGTTTTGATCGGGTCTTGTGACTACTGGTATCTAATAACCACTTCAGATTCTCACTCACATTCGCTGCCATATGGATGATGCCCGTATTGCTGTCGAAACCGGTGTTGATGGAGTGTGAGTCGTGCATTTTATCCTTAATTTTGTTGACTCATAACTGACTGTTTGTAGCGATGTTGTTATCGGTACTTCTTCATACCTCCGTGAGCACTCTCACGGCAAGGACATGACCTACATCAAGAACGCCGCCATTGAAGTTATCGAGTTCGTCAAGTCTAAGGGCATTGAGATCCGTTTCTCCAGTGAGGACTCTTTCCGTTCCGACCTGGTTGACCTTCTGTCAATCTACTCCGCTGTGGACAAGGTTGGTGTGAACCGTGTTGGTATTGCCGATACCGTTGGCTGTGCTTCCCCCCGCCAGGTCTACGAGCTCGTCCGTGTTCTGCGCGGTGTTGTTGGCTGTGACATCGAGACTCACTTCCACAACGACACTGGCTGTGCCATTGCCAATGCCTTCTGTGCCCTCGAGGCCGGTGCCACTCACATCGATACATCCGTTCTCGGTATCGGTGAGCGTAACGGTATTACCCCTCTCGGTGGTCTGATGGCCCGCATGATGGTCGCCGACCGTGACTACGTCAAGAGCAAGTACAAGCTTGAGAAGCTCAAGGAGATTGAGGACCTCGTCGCCGAGGCTGTTGAGGTCAACATTCCTTTCAACAACTACATCACTGGATTCTGCGCCTTCACCCACAAGGCTGGTATCCACGCCAAGGCTATCCTCAACAACCCCAGCACTTACGAGATTATCAACCCCGCCGACTTCGGCATGTCCCGCTACGTCCACTTCGCTTCCCGTTTGACCGGCTGGAACGCCATCAAGTCGCGTGCCCAGCAGCTCAAGCTTGAGATGACTGACGCTCAGTACAAGGAGTGCACTGCCAAGATCAAGGCCATGGCTGACATTCGTCCCATTGCCGTTGATGATGCTGACAGCATTATCCGTGCCTATCACCGTAACCTGAAGTCCGGCGAGAACAAGCCCCTTCTTGACCTGACTGCTGAGGAGCAGGCCGCATTTGCCGCCAAGGAGAAGGAGCTCCTTCAGGCTCAGGCTGCCGGTCTTGCGGTATAGGCGATTTCCTTTCACCATACATATATTGTATCATGCTATCTCACAGTGGCTTGTGCAAAAGACGTGGCAGATACCTGATGATTTGATGCTTTTTCATTTGTTTTGACGTTTTTCCATATAAGGGGTTGAAAAGTCTTCCTATTTTTTTTATACGTTTTTCTTTTGGGAGAGCCAAAGACACATTTGTGTTCGGAGAGGAGAGTCCTCCTTGATTTGTACATTTAGCGCAGAAGAGACAGTAACTTATTCTGAGATCAGACTGTTGTGCTTCTATATTGTAGTTAGTTGTAGTCTGGACCAATTACGTCAGTGGAGAAAGACCAGAACATAGTCTGTGAAGGGTCAATCTAGAGACTTGTAAAAGAAATCATTATAAAATCGATTGAATACTCTTTCAAGTCTATGGATAAACAATTTTTATACATATATTATGTATGGAATATCCATATGTGTCATTGTATGCAAAACGTTGAGTGCCTGCTTCATGTGGGAGCCGAGGCTAGACCCAACCAGTCAAAACGTACTAACGTACTACTTGACGAAATGAAACCTCCCCATCGCCACTCCCGCCCATCTTTATTGCAGGAATATTTCTAGGGGGAACAATGAGCTCTTCAATGCTGCCAGTTGCCCTGCAGAACAAGCTGGTCGGCTACGGCCGGGTGTCCAGCGCGCACTTATCTGCCTCGAACCTTGACCTGTAAGTTGACTGATCCTCCGTTCCCCGCGGAATGGAGGCCAGAACAAAAAGGCAAAAGGCAATCACCACTAACAAATTTTGCTTTTAATGCAGGATTCGCAACATCGTATTTATCCTATTCATCCTCCGGTATACGCGCAAGACCTTCTACTCCATCCGTGGCTACGGCATCCTCGGCAGTATCCGCAACATCTACATCTCGCTCCGCCTGTTCTGCTATAGTATCTTCCTACGTGTCCCTGGTGTCCGCGGCCAGGTCGATAAGCAAGTGAGCGCTGCTATCACGAATCTCGAGTCGAAACTGGTAAACTCTGGGCCGGATGTTACACGGTATCTTACACTGCCCAAGGAGGGTTGGTCGCCGGAGCAGGTCCGCGCCGAACTTGACAAGTTGGCTGGACTTGAACATACCCGCTGGGAAGATGGTCGCGTCAGCGGCGCCGTTTATCATGGAGGCGCGGAGCTGTTGAAACTACAGGCTGAGGCCTTTGGCCAGTTTGGTGTCGCGAACCCGATTCATCCGGATGTTTTCCCTGGTGTTCGGAAGATGGAGGCTGAGGTGGTCGCTATGGTATGCATGGTCATTCCTATATCTGGAGTACACTCTTTGAAAGAGCCTCCCGGCTGATGTCTGCTCTAGGTTCTCGCTCTCTTCAACGCCCCCTCGGATGGTGCTGGTGTAACGACCAGCGGTGGCACGGAGTCTATTCTTATGGCTTGCTTGGCTGCCCGGCAAAAGGCTTTCTTGGAGCGCGGTGTTACTGAGCCCGAGATGTAAGTTGATGTAGAGATACTATAGTATTGACCAGCAGGACTGATCAGTCATTACAGGATTATTCCCGATACGGCACATGCGGCATTCATCAAGGCTTGCAACTACTTCAAGATCAAGCTGCACCGAGTGCCTTGCCCGGAGCCCGAGTTCAAGGTCGACATGCGCGCTGTTCGCCGTTTAATCAATCCCAATACCGTCCTTCTTGTCGGATCAGCACCTAACTTCCCCCACGGCATTGTTGATGATATCCCCGCTCTATCGCATCTGGCCGCCAAGTACAAGATCCCTCTCCACGTGGACTGCTGTTTGGGCTCCTTTGTCATTGCACACCTCAAGAAGGCCGGCTTCCCCTCGCCCTACGAGGAAGAGGGTGGCTTTGACTTCCGCCAGCCCGGTGTGACCAGCATCAGTGTCGACACCCACAAGTATGGGTTCGCGCCCAAGGGGAACTCTGTCTTGATCTACCGCAATAAATCATACCGAAACAACCAGTATTTCGTCTACCCCGATTGGTCCGGCGGAGTTTATGCCTCTCCCTCCGTGGCAGGTTCGCGCCCTGGCGCTCTGATCGCCGGTTGTTGGGCCAGTCTCATGAGCGTCGGCGAAAGCGGATACATCAACAGCTGCACCGATATTATCAACGCGGCGCGGAAGTTCGAGACGGCCGTTCGGACCGATGCGACCATCTCACTGCACATGGAGGTCATTGGTGACCCCATCGTCAGTGTGGTCGCCTTCCGCAGCAAGAACGGTGCCATTGACATTTATGATATCGCCGATGACCTGTCCGCTAAAGGCTGGCACCTCAATGCCCTGCAATCTCCCGCAGCCATTCACTGTGCCTTCACTATTCCCACTGCCAAGGCTGTCGACCAGCTCATTGCTGATCTGACTGAGGTCATCGGCAAAGAGCTTGAGAAGGCCGAGCAGCGCAAGCGCGAGGGCAAAGCGTATATCCTCAAGCGTGGTGATAACTCTGCTCTGTACGGTGTGGCTGGCAGCATTCCCGATAAGAGTGTCGTCAGCCGTCTGGCAGAAGGCTTCTTGGACACTTTGTACAAAGCATGAGTCTTGGAACGAAGATGTCGGTTTTCCTTGTTTGTATCTTCTTTTCGGCCCGTCCGGACTGCTCCCAATGCATGGTCCTGATGTCTCCTAGCTGTCCTTACCTAAACTGCTGGTGCAGTGGCGTTATCATTATCCAGGTCCTTTCGAATTGCACATATCTGTTTCAAGTGTTCGATTCCACTAGACGGTAATAATGCATATAATACAATAGTTTGCCGGAAAGACATTCGCCCGATAGATGTGGACGTAGAGTACATGACCAAAAGAGAAAAAAAGCAACCCGCTCCATGCAAGCAAAGCCAAAACAGAAAAAAGAGGGCGTGATCGACCAATCAATCAATCGTCCGTCGAGAGAAAGGCATTTCAAAAGACTAAATCTCGTCTCAGTCTTGGAGACCGGAGAGGAAAACCCAGTGGGGAAAGCATCCCATTCCACGCGAAGCTCAACGAAAACAATCACTGGCCACTGAGTTCCCCCCGCTGCTCAGCGCAGCTCTTTTCGATATAGTATCCAGGATCAGGCTTGCGCTCGAGATGCACCTCCTGCTTCGTGAGGCGGTACTGGCACTCCTCAACGTGGACAAGTTCCTTGACTTTCATGATTTGACCCGCAACGGAGGGCGAAACGCTGTGGAAGACTGTTGCCATACGCTTCTTCAAGCCAAGCGCCTTGAGGACGTCTGTTGAGCGGCGCGGGAGTCCAATTGCGGAGCGGATGAGGGTGATGCGGAAGTAGGACATGTTGGATTGTGGAGATTGAGAGGATCTGATATTCGGATGATTGTTCTTTCGATGGTATGGTTTGGTTGTCTGGAGTCGTGGAATCGGACTCGGGATAGCTGGAACGGAATGCGGTGGATGCAGGAGGATACCCCAGTATCTGTGGGGGCGAATTTGCAGCCGATATCTGCAGTGCAATTGATCCTGTGATCTCGCGGAGAAATGTCGCGGACTTGGAGATGATCGCGATCCCGCAAATTCAATTAGAAGGCGGTAGGTCACGTGTACATTCTGCCCCGATCCGATGACAGCAGCGACGACAATCTATCGGCCTGTGATAGCTGATATAGTATTTCGCAAAAAGCGGAGACTATGGGCTGCGCTCTTCCCGGCGTGACAGTACCTGGAATTATATCATAGTTCGCTGCTGCGTACTACATTCCCGCAAGCAACACCCCATGCCCGCATTGTTGATAACTCACCCCTCGACCTAGCTTCGAGCGATTGAGCCGGAACGACGACACCACGAGATACCCCTGACCACCTTACCACGACCATGGCGCAAGCCAGTAACATTGATACTACGGTCGCGCTGCCGCGACTCGAAGACCTCCTACGGCACCCGGAGGATCTAGACAAGATCAGCGGGCTTAAAGCGGAATATCTGCGGAAGAAGGCGGCAGTTGATTCACGATTGCGTGAAGGTCTGCGAGACCAGCTGGAGGCTGTGCAACGCAGCATTGGTGCTCTGACTGAGGGCCAGCGACAAGTCTCGAAAACGAAAGACGAGCTTCAAGGCATCGACAAGTTGTGCGCCGAGTCGCAGGATAGTGTGGAGGACTTTGCGCAGATTGACCAACTTGCGCGGATCCAACGACATTTCGATGCTACGCTTATGATGAAACGCGGGCTGGAGAATTTTGATGCGGACATCCAGGAAGTGGAGGATCTGCTCAAAGACGATGATGACGACATGGAGAATCAGCCCAATATTCTGCGGGCTCATATGCAGATCTCACGGTTAAGGGATTTCCGCGATGAGGCTATGGATCAGATCCGCAAGGCGAAGGATCAGAGCTCTGAAGAGACGCTGGCGGAGTACTTTAACAGGTTGGATTCTGTTATTGAGTGGTTTGATGACCACCTTGGCACGGCTTGCATGAACCTTATTCCCCTGGTGCAGGCGGATAATAAGAGCATGGTTGTGCGACTTGCTGTTGTTGTATTGAACGAGGAGAAAAACGATGATACGGTCCGAGCGTTGCAAGAGGCTCAGAAGGACCACAAGGACCTCGCAAGTCGCTTCAAGTCGATGAACATTGGTCCCAAGACCGTGCGTGGTTACAAAGAAAAATTCATCCAAGCTATTGAGCTCTACGCCCAGGGCCAATTCGAAGAGACCCTCGAAAGCTTCCTTGAAGAGCCAGAAAATCTGGAAAAGAGATTCCGGTGGTACTTCAATGATCTATTCACGGTCAAGCAAGGCATGCAGAGCCTTGTTCCGAAAAAGTGGAAGATATTCAAAACATACACCGATATCTATCATCAGATGATGCATGACTTCCTGCTCAGCTTGATCGACGACACCGACCTCCCAGCCGATAATCTGCTCAGTATCATCCACTGGAGCGACAAGTACTACAAGAAAATGAAGAAGCTGGGCTGGGCATCAACAGATCTGCAACCCAACGTCCTCGACGACCGCGAACCAGAACTAGTCCGAAAGTGGCAGGCCGTCATCATCAACGCCGTCGAAGAATGGATGGACCGCATTTTCAACGCGGACAAAAAGTCCCTCGTGGAACGTGCCGCAGACGCCCTAGACAACAATGCAGAAGGCCACTTCCGCACCAAGACACTGGCCGACATGTGGCGCATGCTCCACGAACAAGTCGTGGCATCAGGGGCATCAGACCGCGCAGACTTGGTAGAGGGCGTCATCGACGCTATGTTCCGTGCCTTGAAGAACCGACAGACTGCATGGCAGGCACTTGTGGACGAAGAATGCGCAAAGCACCAAGTAGAAGGCGCGGACCAAGAAGGCGTGCAGCTGTTACAAGACTGGCTGATCGGCATAGCCAACGACCAGATCTCCTGCATCGACGACAACGAGGAGGGCAACCAGTTCGGCTACCTGACGCGGTTCAAGTCCGATTTCGAGCCTATGGTCACACCAAAGTACATGGGCACCACGGCGACCATGGAGCTGGATGCACTGCGCGATGGCTATGTGGACTTGAGCACACACTGCCTGGCGCAGTTCGTGAGCCTTGTCTTCTGGGTCGATCTGGACACCGTCCTGCCAGACTTCTACACGTCTCGCTGGTACGGCGAATTTGCCATGAAGCGTATTACCTCCACGTTCGAAGACTACATGGCGGACTACTCCTCCGTGCTGCACCCATCCCTGGCCGAAATCCTGGTCGAGGAACTATCGGACGAGCTACTGGTGCGGTACCTGTCTGCGGTGCGCAACAAGGGTGTTAAGTTCCGCCGTCACGTCGACCCCTTCACGGACAAGTTCAAGGACGATGTCCTTACTGTTTTTGCGTTCTTCGAGAATTACCCCGACTCATTCGAGGGTACTATCAAGCAGAAGTGGCGACTAGTTGATTGGCTTGTTCGCCTCCTTGCTACTGAAAAGGGCCCCGCGCTTGTGGAGGTTTACGAAGTATTCAAGCTTGAGTACTGGGATCTGCAGCTTTCGTGGGTTGAGGCTGTGCTGCGCACCCGTGATGATTTCGAGCGCAGCATGCTCACCGCCATCAAGGCTAAGGCTGCGGAGTTGTCTGTTGAACGGGGACAGGAGACTCTCATGAGTCGGTTGAGATGATTCTGTGGTACTTGGCCGTGGGGCATTCTTCCAGCCACACTGCTGTTCCCGTTTCATCTCAGCTCCATATGCAATCCACCGCGTTCGACCTTATTTATTCCACTGTCACGTGACTCGGGTTGGTGTACTAGCCCTCTGGCTTTGAATGTTCCGTCGAGATCTCGCAGGTAGTCTCAAGAAGAGGCCGTAGAGCCTCTCTTCGCTGCTCAGTCGACGCAGGACTACACTTTAACACAACTCACTTCGTGATGAGCAACTCGCAACCACATGTACCATCGCGACCCAAGCAGGCTTGGGACCTAGCCTCCTCCTTAATATTACTAGCAATACAGCAATGGAAGCAAATATCTTGCACAATTTAGATTTTCTAATAAATTATGTGCAAGGCATGAATTCTATGTACATGTATTATTGCGAATTAATCATTTGCTCTCGAATGCTACCAGGGGCGTTGCGTTCGAAAAGGGCCGCGATATTAAGTCATGGATTTAGACTCCGTTCTGCAACGACGGTATATTCCTCGCCGAGGCGTTCATTCAAACCATGCTCGTCGTTGACACCAGGATATAATTTCTTGGCGCCCATCTCGCAGATGCAGATAGTATCCAGAGGAATTTCCTTTGCCCAAATGAAAGGGTAGCCCCGGGACGGTGGGAGAGAAGCGGCCGAATGGCTCCTATGCTCGGAGGAAATAATGTCTCTTTCGGGGATTGCGGAAGATTCCGCACGGCAGTTGTCACTTTCTGTGTCCTCGGAAGATCGAGCAGGTACTGGGTGTGGGATAGTTCGATTGTCATCAGAGTAGTAATTACGATATTGTGAGATCAGGTTGCGGGCATCGAATGTAAGGCGTTTGGGCGGATATTTGCCATTCGCATCTTTGTTCTGCCCCTGTCGACCGTGGACGTAAATTGTGTTGACAAGAGTCGCGTGCAGGAGGAGTGGTCGCGGTTTTGGTTCTCGGGTTATCACAATGATGGATGGTTCCTGGTTCTTCGACACTTCTTGGGGTTCAGAGGAATTTTGGCTTTCTTGTTGGTGTAAAGACGCATCGCTAGAAACAGTAGCGGATTCAGAGGCCTGATGATTGTCTTGGACAAAGCGGGGATTCTTTTGTCTTCTGGCTGGTCTTCTGTCGGGCTCATTTTGGATGAAGCCAGCCTCGATGAATTTGTCACGCAGCTTTATACAAAATGGAAGCAAGCGGCCTGTAGGATCGACCGGGGAAGCATGTAATATGGTTGCTGACTTTCCTTGTGGCAGAGCATGTAATGACTCGAGAGAAACAGTCAAGGGCGATGACTGGTCAGGGGCGCTTTTCTGCTGCGTGTGAGCGGTGGCTCGCTCCGCCTCGTTCATTAGGTCTGCCAGATCGAGGGTTTGGAAAAATGCAAGAGCTTCGTCGAGACGCTCTTTATTGGTGAGACTCATCACCCCAAGAGTAAGGTGAATTGTGCCCAGTGGACGAAAGGCTGTGCTGGGAAGACCCAGGCGGAAGGTGTCCCCTTGGCCCTCGGAGGACGATTGAGCAGCTGGCCCAGGTGCAGCGAGATGGGCTGTTTTGAAGGCCGCTAGCGATGCGTCCAGCTGCGGCAGCGATTTGGTGTTTATCAGAGGGAGACAGAGGAAATGTGTCAATTGGGGCCGCTTTTGCCGCTTTTCTGGACGTGGTTTGCGGGGCTGTTGCGTTGATAAACCTGCGGTCTCCGTCATGATGCACCTGTATCTCCATGAACGTGACAGCAGCATGGAAGTAAATAAATTTTGGCACGACTCAGTCGCCGAAATCGTCTCTCGAGAGTTGCTGCTAGGAAGAAATTCGAAGTTAGAAGTAAGCTCCTAAGGTCGAGAGACGCACGGACCAGGATCCACAGCCTTGTGTCGACTACATTGAAATTCATCTCTCGTGGCCATCCACACTAAGGAGGATATTCAATGCTCCCAGCATGATCCCATACTGCAAGGGCGAAAAAACCAAAACTACGCATCCTAGGAGGGTTCCACTGTAGTGATATCCCAACGCGTCAAATAAGGGCGGCCCCGCGAGTGGCAAGCAGGCAGCAGTCGTGTTTCTCACCACTATCATTGCACTGATGGCGCTGACAGAATAGATCCCAAATGAGTCCACAGTATATGTCTGCCACGAGATGGAGGTCGCTGCGAGCCCAAGGCCATCAAGTGCGCTCCACAGGATCAGCATCATAAGCTGAATCCGATATTAGACGGTCCATCCGAAAAGAAAAAGGCCTATAGAAGGAGATGAAGACGCTGCTCGGGGGTGATATTCCTGATCGTGCTTTGGCCCGCCGGATATATCGGTCGAGGAGGAAGCCGTAGAGTAAAGCCCCGAAGGCAAGTCCGAGGCAAAGACCTAGGGAGGCGAGACCAGAGGCTCCCTGGGAAATTTTGCAACGGTCTTGGAAAACAGGTGCGATAGTGGTCGTAGTTAACAAGAGTATCCATGTACGATGCTGAGGTAGACGGTGCTAAGGAGGAGGATTATAGAGCGAATGAGGAGAGTGAGCGGGCGGACACTAGTATAAAAAGTTTACTACTTATAAATAGCTTATATAAAGTTAGTAATATTTATATTAATATAGCGGAAGAGTATACTCTCTCTAGGATAGGTACTTTTAGTATATGTCGAACGAGGGACACTAATGTGAACTAATACCAAAAACTTACTATACCGAGTAAGTGGTAAAATGAGTGTGTTTTTCTAAGAGTAGCAAGTTGTAAAGGTATACTGTTTCCAGGTGTATGGCCTGTCAACCGGGTAAGATACTATGGCTTGGAGGAGAACACAATGTATTGTCTGGAGTGCCAAGAGCAGCACCTGTCTTGTCATTCGTCTTAACCTCGAATTCCGAGTAGCTTCGAGTCTGCACGTAATTGGAGTCCTCTTGAATACGATGGCATTTTGCCCTATCGGAGTTGCTAAGGAAGTACAAAACCTGGGACGAGAACTGATCACTAATGTCTTTGTCAGACTTGTCTCGGTAGTCCTTCCAATCCGCAATTATATCACTCCAGGCATTGGCGGCGCCAAGCTTTTCCTAGCGGGTCATGGGGGACCAATAGGGAGTCTCCCGGTAGTACTCGTTGTCACAGCCGATCTTAGTCCAGTTGCCCCTACGGCTACCAGCGCCTCGGGGCGTGATGACGCCAGACTTCGCTTCAAGTATCAGACCAGGCCAACCATCGAATCCCTCGGGTGCGTCGTTGAATTGTTCTAAATCGGTGGCCCAGTTGACTGTGCCGCCCATACCAAGGGATTCGTACATCTTGGCTCGCTGAGCCCTGATTTCGGGGCTCATGTAGGCCACCCAATTTGTGTCATCGTAGACCATAATGTTGCTGTTGCTGTGGGCGTTAACATAATGTTTATTGACGCGGGATGAGTTGTGCTTAAGGAGTTGATTGATCTCAGCATTTGAGATGTAGCCCGCGGTATTAGTGCACTCTGCCTTATCGGCATTAGAATCTAGTCGGCCTCCGATGAATTTGCACAGCGGTCCGTCGTAGTCTGCATCGGCCATTCTGAAAGATCTTCCGTAGCTGGTGACGCCGACAACTACCTTGCCCGAGTCCATACCAGCCTTGGTGATTAGGGAAAGGGATTCTCGGGTCTCCGTTATGTTGATATAGCTTCGCAGACAGCTTCTATCATCGCAACCTGGTTGGGCGTTGGGATTACCTGCGTCCTATTGCCCGTGTAAATCATAAGTTATGAAGACAATGTAGTCAACAACCTTACTGATCTCCGCGATGGGCCCTTGAGGTACTAGTATGAGCCAGGAGTAGCAATCGAAACAGACTTGCCTTTAAGAAGATTCTTCAGAACCACAAGGAAAGCGAGATAGTTGGCTCCTTCACACTTATCACCAGGCGGGGTTCTAGGAATATTAGGTGCCTGGTTTTTGTTAGTGACCGATCACTCTTTCGGCCTCGGAGAGAAATGGCGCATAGGGCTGTACGTACACTTGGGTATTCCTAGTCAATATCAACACCGTTAAGGTTGTTATCGTTCACGAACTTCGTAATGTTAGTCGTAAGCTTCTTGCGATTAGCCGCGCTGGTTCCTTGGCGTAAAATCTGGTATGTGGATGCTTGGGTAGAGAAGTCCTATCTACCGAAGCTGACAATCCTCTTAAGACCAGAGATATGCTTAAAGTTAAAGAACTGATAGTTGGTCGATTTGTCGTTAATGCTGATTTCGAAGTCGGAGGAGATATCGGTAAAACTAAAATGCAAGTGAGTATATTTTGAATGATCAACTTGCGTCGTATCTTGATATAAGCAATCACGTTTGAACTGATAACCTTCGTAGTATCCGATGCTGCGGAACTCGCTAGGGGCATTTCTTTTCACGATCTTTATACCGTAGTGAGATGCAGCCGTTAGTGCCGGCTTTAGTAGTACTAGGGGCGCCCGTGTTAGTATCGGTATAGAATTCTGCTATAGTTCCGCACTATAGGCAGTATTAGTGAGCTTAGTGTAATAGCGGAAAGTAGATAGGGAGCATACGTGGCCAAATATGTTATAGCAAGCATTTAGTGGGTATAGGTTGAGATCGGTAAGCTTGCTTATGTCTTTTAGAGGCTTCGTGCTAGGAACCTAGGGACCACACTAGGCATTAGAAACCTTAGCCGGTATAGGCGGAGATCCTTTACTGATATAGATGACCGAATCTTTGAAGATATTCTTACACCTAGTCTATCCCTAAGTCTTTTAATTGAAACTATCGATGTCTTTCTCCGTAAGACCATTAGCCGCACTAATCGTTGAATAACTTTCGCCATCGCCAATAGTGGTTGTGGCATATGATCCGTCTTTGTTAGGCTTTGGGCTAAAGTCGGGAAGTGTACCAGAGGAGTAGTAAACGTGCTAACCAGGCTTTAACTTCGAGTAGAAGCCTTTCGTAGAGTTGTACTTAGTGAAGTCAGCCCTAGAGATATTACACCTCGAGGCGATTGCGGCGTAGCTATCCCTATCTTAGACCTTCTCTACTTTACACTCCGCCCTAGAAAATAGTAGATTCCTCTCCTATTGTATAGATAACTTAGCAGGTAGGGGTGAACTAGAGGCTTTCATACTACTTGTGGTCGTATTTCCGGGCTTGATAGAAGACAGTATAGGAGATGTAAAGTGGGCAATAGCCGTGAAGTTTGTGATTTGTTCGAAGTTAAGGCACTCGGCATTAGACTAGGATTTAAAGGCAGACTAGATGGCTCTAAAGGTGCTATTACTTAGAGCCAGAAATCTAAAGACGTGTTGAGAGTCATAGTGTGGTCTATAGAGCTGTATAGCCAAACTGTCTCGACGTCCATCGAAATCGTGGGAATCTTCGATAAGAGACTCCAGAGCTATATCGCTAATGCCTTTGCTTTATAGACTATTACTAATATAGATACTAGCTGAAGTGGCACCAAAGCGAGAATATAGTATAGCTGTCTTACTAGGAGTAAGGTGTCCGCGGGCAATATAATCACGCATTTGTCTGATTAAGGAGCGGTACTCGGATTTAGTGCCTTCTGAATATGACGACCAGCCGATCTTATAGTTGACCGTTGACCTTATGCTCCTTTATAGGGCGAGAAAGTGGTGAATGGGCCTACGAGTTTTCTCTCTAGTTATTGCCGTATGCCGTGTAAGCGAGGATACGGTGATAAGTGTCGGTATCATCGACATTATCGTACAGATTGAAGCTATAGAATAGAGGTAGGTCACACCTTTCGAGCTGTCTTATATGGTGGTAGGTCGCCAATTGGAGGGGTTAGGTCCCGTGATAATGCATCGCTCGGGGCAGATATTGTTAAACCCCTGATAGCTTGGACTGGCACCTAGTCTGGAGTTTCCCTGACCGGAGACGACCGCAGCTGATAGTAGTATGCCTGCAGCTATACCATTCAAAAGGGGCGCTATGGCTTTGGACCCCTCGTGGCGAAGGTTGAAAAGAGTGTAATGTGAAAAAGTGAAAAGAGTGATGAAAATTGACTAAAAGAGTGTATAGACAAATGAAAACGAGTGGCTGTTAGGAACGGTGAAAGTCCTAAGAATCCCCCTAAGTCGAGAGGTATATTGATTCTGAGAAAATAATGTCCAGTGCTGGAGCAGCGTAAATAAATATGTAATCTTTTCTCGCCCCCAATCTTAGACTTGACATGGAATCCTTTAAAGTATAAGTCTCTCTAGGGCTGCACTAGATCCGCTGACCCATCTGGTATGGCCCCCGGGTGTGATTGGATCACGATCGACATACCCACGCAGAGACTTTCTTCGAGTCCGAGAACTGGATCCATCCGGTGTTTTAGAGAAATACACCATAATCTCCGTAGAATGTCATGGAGAGGCATAGGACACCCAATTGCAGCGTTTGTACGAATCATATAGGGGCCGCCAAGAGTAGCAAAAGCCCTCTAAGCACTGGCTCGACCCACTACACCGAGAGATTTACAATGGACATAAACTAGGGCTATTAAATGCATGTACATAATATAATATATGGAGTAGTTGTGTATCCGTATGCAGTTCCGTATTGACGTGGCCCACTTTAAAAGGACCCCCCTTTTGCGGTCTAAACTACGAAACCTTCTAGTTTCCCTAGCGCGCGTAGTCCCATTTGTGCCCGGAAAAAGTATAACACATTTGGGGTACTTCGCCCTCCCTCATCAAAACTTCCCTGTCTTTCGATCTCTTCTCCTGACCTTGAG